TCAGGAGGTGGAAACAGGTGAGAAGGACAGGCAGGATGCAGATTCTGTGGTGAGAAGTGAGGCGACAGGGCAGCTATACGTGAGAAGAGTCTGACGGGTGCTGAGAACCCTCAAGGGCAGCGGGTACCCCAAATATGTAACCGCAGGCTCTGCCCTACTAGAATTTGAAAGTGCTGGCTGTGCCAGGCATGGCTGTTAGTCACTGGACTGCAGGGCCATCTGGGGGGTCCTGGAAAGGACTGAGGGAATGATAGACAGGTGGCAGGTGGCAGGGGCTGGGGGATGGGGCAGCAGCTGTTTACCAAGCAGGATGGAAGTGGTTCACTGTCTTAATAACCGTAAGTAGTAGGACCATTAATAGTGTGCATGATGCAATGCATGCCATGCCTGTGGGCAGCACACCACACCCAGCAGATGTGGGCCAGCGCTCAGACTCCAAGGGAACAAGGCACACACTGGTCTGCAGGATACAGTTCTGGCTCAGCAGCTCCGCTTCCTTCCTTCTGGCAGAGGACGGCACATTCCTGTACAGTGCAGAGGGCCTCTGGGGCACCCGCTGGGGGTCTCTGTCCTGGCCTAGCCAGCCCCCTGCACCCTGTAGACCCCCAAAGAGCATCTCAGCGCCTCCACCTCTGCCTCAAGGCTCTGTTTCCCTTGTGAATCCACATCCAGTCTCTGTTGGACTTGTGAAGTCAGAAGAAATCCCCAAGATGGGGGAATATAAACCAAGACTTGTCAAACCACATTTAGAGCCAGAAGAACCCAAAGGTCGTCACCAGGACATGACAGTTGTTATAACCTCTGTAACTGGGTTTGGCCACCGCACAGCCACTCTCGCCAGGAAGCTCTGAGGCTTCGCTGGAAGAGAAGCTTCCTCTTTGTGGAGCACACTGAGCTTCAGAGGCAGCTAAGAGGACTGGCACATGGCATCGGCTGTGACAGGCCAGGAATCCTACCTTCAGGGATCCAGAACAGAAAAATCCCAAGCACTGTTATTGGAGAGCAGCACAGGACAGCAGCTGAAAGCCCAGCCTGGCCATCACTGGGAGGAAAGGATGGAGACTGAACTGGCTGCTTCAGGCAGGCGAGGGGCTCGCTGATGAGGACACTCACACAGGCTGTTCTCTGGGAGGCTGGAGAACCCGGGAACCCGGCTGGGGAAGCGCACAGGGCACAGGGCAGGCTGGCAGCAGGAGATGCAGGCCAGGCCTGGCACACGGTTTCGGATCCACTGCCGGGACTTTCGCCACAGGACACAGTATGCTGCCCTCGCCCATGGTCTCGGTCCCTGCACCTAGGCGCTGGCAGCTGGAGCTCCCTCCAGGCAGGGCCAGGACTGGAAGCCTGTGAGCTGTGCTGGGGAGGGCAGAAGTGGGGCCCTAGGTCTTGTCAGGACTCACTAACTGGAAATTCCCCACGAAGCAACAGCAGCAAAGCCCATTATATACCAGAGAAGCAACTTTGTTGATGGAAACAGTGGAATGAAGTTGTCTTGCTCTTTAAATTTAGAGAACATCCAGATTAACAATGTTACCTCACAGGTGAAAAAGACCTAAAGGCCATTGGTTCATCTTCCCATTCCACAGGGAGCTGGATAAACCCAGCAGGTGCAGAAGCAGCACTTTGGGGAGCAAGAAAGGAGCAGAGCTCACTCAAGGGTCCCTTAGGGAGACCGCCTCAAAGATCCTGTCAGGCGGGTGAGATGTGGTGACATGTGGTGGGTGAAGGCAGGCTTGTGAGTAACACCAGGACGGTCCCGGGAGCCCTGGGGCCCAGGAACACCCCAAAGTCTCCTGTGTGCACTCAGCATTTTCCTGGAGCAAGCTCAGTCTTCACAGGACCCTCAGAGACAGGAAGCACCACTTAGAATAGTGCCTGAGCCGCTCTCATTTCCAAGTCCCAGGACCCCATCACTCAGAGCAGGCATGCCATTGCCTAAACCAGAAGTCTTTATTCCTATCCTGCAGCAGAGAAGCTCCTCCTCTCCCATCATCCCCAGTCTTCTCTGGCATTCCTCCTTTATAAAGGAGAACGATGAGGTGATGAATTCCGGATTCGAATCCAGATTTCTCCACTTACTAGCTGTAACAGCGCAAATTGATCAAAATCTCTGGGCCTCAATTTCTTCTCCTGTAAAATGGGCACAATCATAACCCACGGTTTGTAGGAGTGTTATGAAATTTAAAGAGCCTTAACATATGTGAAGGGTTTGGGAGAATACTTGGCTAACAACAACTATTAGATGTTGTTCTTCTTTGTTTTGTTTTGTTTTTGGTACCAGGGATCGAACTCGGGTCCTTGCGCTTGTGCAGCAGGCGGTGAAACCACTGAGCTAAATCCCCGGCCCAGATGTTGTTGTTCTTATTCTTCTAGTTGCTCAGGACAAATCCTAGAAATAGTCTTGTATTTCTTTTTCCCCTTATATAACACATCCAAACCCATCGGCAATTCTCATCCATTCTACCTTCAGATACGCATCCTAAGTCTGACTTCCTCTCACAATCTCTATGGCTTCCAGCCCTGTCCAGGCCACACTGGCTTGCAGGGGCCTCCTAGCGGGTCTCCTGGATTCCCCACTGCCAGCCTCCCCAGCCCAGTTCTGCTAATGGCCGCCATAGGACCAAGCCTGGCCTTGCCGCCTCATTTACTGGGCCCCTGCCATTTCCCCTTCCTCCCTCTTGTCACTCTAAGTGTCATTTGTCCTCTTGAGTCTTGTTGTCCCCTCTCCCTAGAATAATGCCACAGCAGAGGCGGAAGCAGGGGCTGTTTTGGCAGAGGCATAAAAGTAAATTTCTCTGAGGTGACATTTGGGTGGCCTTTAATTAAGTGAATATCTGGCATGGGGAAGCTAAAACAAATAGATAAGCTGATAAATAATAGATAACAGGACTGTAATGTCAGCATTGAGGAGGCTGAGGCAAGAGGATTATGAATTTAAGGGCAGCCTGGGGAATTTGGTGAGTTTAAGGCCAGCCTAGGCCCTGTCTCCAAAAGAAAAAGGAAAGAATGAAAGAAAAAGAGAGAGGAAGGAAGGAAGGAAGGAAGGAAGGAAGGAAGGAAGGAAGGAAGGAAGGATAGAAAGAAAGAAAGAAAGGGAAAGAGAGAGAAAAGAGAAGCCAAGACGGATGGACAGACAAGCTGGGTGGGATGGTGTACACCTGTAATCCCAGTACTCTGGGAGGCTAAAGCAGGAGCACTGGGAGCTCAGTTTAACAACTTCGTGAGACCTTGTTTCAAAATTAAAAACAAACAAACAAATTTAAAAGGATGGGGTTGGGAGATTTGGCTCACCACGAAGGCTCTGGGTTCAGTGCCCAGTCCAGAGGGAAAAAAGGTACGTGGTTTATTCACAGTGACCTGACCGCCTACAGACGCGGCTCTGCTGGGGTCTGGCTGGGTGGGGAAGGCGCAGGGTTAGGTGGCGCAGCGCGGGTAGTGGAACCTGTAAGGGGCGGGGCCTCAGGTTGGAGAAAGTTGGGCCGGAGCCCAGTCTTCAGCGCCACGCTGGAGCCGCCCACTTCTTCCTCCCCGCTCAGGGCCCGGTGCGCGGCGTCTCCCCGCACACGCGCGGGCCCCGCCCTGCCTCGGCGCAGCCCGTGCGGGAGGCCGTCCCGCCGGGGCCTGCGGCCCGCGAGGCTGAGCTGCAGTTAGCTTTTCCCGCAGCCGACGCTCGGGTGACGGAAGCTGCTTGCCCCGGGTCCCCGAGGCCCCGCCCCGAGGGGCAGTTGCAGGGCGCCCCGGGCGGTGGCGCGCGGACCTGGGCTGTGGGCTCTGCCCGTCCCGAGCCCTGACCTCCGGCCCGGCTCAGGCTTCTGCCGCCTCCCGGCCTGCTGCAGCACCTTGGGCAGGAGGGGACGCCAGCAACGCCCCCTTCCCGGCTGGCTCCCACAGGCGGGCAGTTGTGCGCGGGAAACGCCCCTCGCTTTTCGGGGGGCCAGCAGGGGAGGCGGGAGCCCGTGGGACAGCTGCCCCGGCGGCGGGCAGGGGGCGCGGAGGAGAGGGCGGCGGAGCGCTTCTAGCCCAGGACTGCTGGCCGCCTCTGTGTCCCGTCCTGCAGACCTGTGGTTCTAAAGAAACAAGAAGAGCGTTTGTTTTGTTTTTTGGGGGAAGAAGTTGACTCATCCTGGTGGGGAACGATGGCAACTTTAAGCGAAGCATCTGCTCGGTCGCTGGTCTCCAGCTGCCCTGCGCTGCGCTCCGCGGCGGAGGGCGCTGAGGCCGCGGTCTCGTGCAGTTCCCGCTGCGGCCACAGGATGGCGCGCGCGCCGCGGCGTTGCCGGGCTGACCGCGCGGGCGGGCGCGCGCGCGGGGGGGGGGGTCTCGTGCCCACAGAACCCCTGCTTTTGCTTTCCAGCAACGTTCTTGGAGTTTCCCCTGGCGAGCGAGTAAGCTCTAAGGCCGTGGGTTGGGTAGGCCGCAGATGGGCCCGAAAGGGGTTCAGCAGGGCAGGTGTTCTTGTCGAGTGCTGGAAGGGCAACTGTTATTGATAAGTAAAAATTGTATCTATTTAGAGTATACGACATGATTTTATCTATACACACATATATGTAGGAGAAAGCCTTTCTCATCTGTAAGCTCTTCATTAGTGTGTGCTTGGACTTCTAGGAAACCTCATGCAGTTGTGTGGCATTGGATACATTCTGTAATAGAAATTTCCGTTTTCTAGCCATCCTTGTAGAACCAGCATTCTGCACCCACTTCAGTTTTCTCCTAAATGCAGAACTTCTGCTCTGAGCCTGAACCACCCCTCATTCTTTGAGGTACTGGACCTCCAGATCTCAGGGCCGTCAGTCATTGTTTCTTAAAGCTTTTATATCCCTGTGGAATTAGAGGGGTAGTTTTTGTTATGTTTTTTGGGGGGGGGGATTAGAAAATGCCTAAACGTCTTTACTGGGAGGACTTGTTAAAGTAATCACACTTCTCTGGGGTTTATTTTCCATCACACCGCAACCTTCATATAAAAATAGATTGGCAGACAAATTATGCCAAGAGTCCTGAGTCTTTTAATTGCTGAATTTTTAAAGGCAGTGTTTTATTGTGGCCCTGATAACACAAAGACTGGTAGTTGTGAGAGTGAGTCAACAGCACCTTCTCCGCTGGTGTGGGCCTCCAACCCTCGGAGGGAGGACAGCACAGGAAGGAGTAATGGCAGAGCATTAGCAAGGTGGGAGGCTGTGCCTGCACTGCCTGGAGCCCTTCAGAGACGGAGAACAGTAACCAGGCCAGACAGGCCCTTTGTTTTCACGCTTTAAGGGAAAAATGAGAAATGGCAAATGGTCATGTTTTAAGCTTTAGTTTGCTAATATTTTCCCAGTATTGACTGGGGAAAGAGGTAACATTTGGAGACGGCTGAGTTGCTGGAATCATCTCTGCTCCAGCTGTGGAAATCACAGTTTGGCTATGATCCCAACCACAGAGAACTCCTCGTTGCTGCTGTGGCTGCTGGTGATCCCCACGCCCAGCTGTGCAGACCCCACCCCCAGGGGGGACCAGAGCAGGAGGGCACCCCCCCCCCCAGGCCTGAGTGCAGCCACTGGGCTCCAGGCACTGACTCTTCAAGACTTATTTTGACCACTTACTGAGCACCAGCTATGCAGTTCTGGTTCTTTAACTTTCCCATTGGCCCTGAGAGGCTGTTACTGCAGGAAGAAATCGAGGGTGAGGGAGGGTGAGAGATGCCCCAAGTCACAGCTGCCTCCTGAATGAATGAAGGGTGGCTCACCTGGCCTCTAGTTGTGTGTAGTGGAGGACAGCAGAAGTTGCAGGAGAGAGTCTGTCTGGGTGACACAGCATCCAGGCTCTTCCCCCTCATCACTGCCTCTGTAGTGGGGAAGCCAGGACAGGGCTGGGGTGTGCCCAGTGGTACAGCCATGCTTAACATGTGTGAGGCCCTGGATTCAATCCCCAGCACTGAAAACAAAGCCAGAACAATGTTCTTCAGCTTTTTAAAAATTGAAGATCCAAGAAATCCGTGTCCCTCATCCTTTATGCTTTAGTTGTGAAGCTGTTTAAACCTATTATCATTCATGTCCTACACCGAAGAATAAACTTTACAATTACAAACATTACTATGAAGGAGGTCTGCAGCCCAGCCCACAGAAAAGGCAGAAGCTATAGGACAGCTACACAGAGTTTTATCTCCTGTCACCACTACGGCGTCCCAGAGAGGTATTTTAGGGACAGAGACAGGAAAATTCAAACATTTCCACTGTGGTTTGTTACTTGTCATAACACCTGCAAGTGACAGAAGGGACAATTCGGGCCAAGTCGGGATGGTCGTGTAGAGAGTACCTGTGTCATTGCACTGATGAACCCGAGGCAACCTGTTCCACACAGGATGTTTCTCTTTGGAAATCTCTGAAACTTTCATGGCCCCTGAACATGGTAGAAGTGATCTGAAAATCTTAGAAGCCATTAAAAAACATTTTTTTTATATTTGAAAAATCTAAGCACGTGTGAGTAAGGTGAGTGGGAGTGGTGGTCTTTTTTTATTGTACATGTTTGCAGGACATGGCATTTACAGTCATCTTGGGAGTGAGTATGTTTCTTTTTTTAAATCTTCTTGCCCGAAGAATGGTGATCTTTAGGAGCTTGTCTTCATTTTGTGGGCCACAAAAATGAGATGGGCAGAAATGGAGCTCTTCCCAGCGTGGTTTTCCAGACAAAAACTCAAGAAAAAAAGACAAGGGAAAGAAAGAAAAGAAAACACGTGATATGACTGATAATGTGACAAAGCCACCAGGTGAAGAGGCTGTCTTAAAGCCTGATAAAAATGGCAGCAATGGATATCCTCCACTTCATTCTCACGGTGGCCTCCTCCAGGAAGGCTCCTGCAGCAACCCCAGCCTCTAGGCTCTTTCCCTTCCCTAACTTCACTTACGGTTGCTAGGATCTAAAAAACACACCACAGTGTTTTAAATAATCCATTCTCTTGAAATTGACGGAGCTCCTGTCTCCAATACAGTTTAGGGTCAGGAGCGGCATTGACAATGTGAAAAATAGCCAGCACTGGCTCTTTGCCTTGGGAAACACTTTCAGGGGATGGGCCCTCGGGGCTCCCTTCTGAAGCATTCTACAGGGACTCTAGGGCTTCAGAGGTCCCATCCCGGGTCTGTTCGCCCTGGGAGGACTTGTTGCCAGTGTGCATACCCCTGTATCTGTGGGGTCTTAATCTCCTTGAGATACTTAACAGAATATCTGAGACTGGTTAATTTTTAAACAGCAAAAATTTATCTCTGAGTTCTGAAGCCTGGTGGTCCAAATATGATGTGTGAACAGGTATGGTGTCTGATGAGGCTGTTGCTTTCTTCCGAGATGGTGGCAGTTGCTGCAGCCTCTAGAGGAGATGAATGTTGTTTCTTCACATGGCAAAAGGGCACAAAGATTCCTAAATTACTCCCTCAGTGCCTCTTCTAAGGGCTCTAATCCTATCTATGAGGACAGAGCCCATTTGACCCAATCACGTCTTCAAGGCCTCACTGCTGAATACTGTCGAAGCGGGGACTGCTTTCAACGTGAATTGTGAGAGGGCACCAACATCTGGACCAACACTGTGTACACCCCTGTTTCCGGGAAGGGAGGTGGGACATAGGCTGAGCACAGGGACCATCGTCCTGTGCCACCACAGTCTAGCATGGAGTTCCAAGGATGCCACAGAACCAGACTTCTCAAGCTTGTGTTCCTCTGAGGAACTTAGGCCATGCCAGTGGAGGTCCAGTGCTAGGAGAATCTTCTGGACAGAGGCTTCCAGGCCCCTCACCCGTCTGAGTGGGAGCAGTGGGGAGAGGCTGCCTGATAAGGAATGTGGCTTTCTGGGCCCCTCACACGTCTGAGGTAGGCTGGGTATGTCTTGGCCAGTTCAATCCCTTAAAGCTTTGTTTAATTCTGAGCTTGCTTTTGCTATCACTTATCTGGAGCCAAGAAACGAGTCACCTAAATAATGAAATGCCTTGCTAAGCTTAACAACAAAACCATGAGGACTCGCTAAATAAATAAGTTAGGAAAAACGAAGTGGAAACTGCAGATCCCTGTAACAAATTCAAAGACTCTTCCAAGATGGAATTAAACAAGGGGGTTTAAGGCAAAGGAAGTGGTTAGGAGGGGAACCACTCCAAATGGTATAGCCAGTGAACTGGCTGAACCAAAGCTCCACCTCAGAAACAGATGTGTGTGCTCTGTGGTAGCCAGCCTGTGTATTGTTCCATTGTTTAAAAGCACCACATAACTTCGTTCCTTTAGATTCCCCTAATTTTAAATGTGGGTAAGTGAACATGGTCAGGCTAAACTGAAAGCTATCTTCTACATGGGTTAAAAGATTTGCTAAGAAAATTTAAAGGATAAGCAAGAGTGCAAGGAGAGTGTTAAGTTTACTTAAGAAATCAGCCCTGAGCTGGGCATAGTGTCCCATATCTGTAATCCTAGCACTCTAGGAGGAAGAGGCAGGAAGATTGCAAATTCCAGTTCAGCCTGGGCAGCTTAGCAACTCTGTGAAATTAAATTTAATTTCTGTCCTGAAATTAAAAATAAAACGGGGCACAGGCTCTGGGGAATTCGCCCTGGGGTCAACCCCCAGTACTGCAAAAGAAAAAAAGAAAACAGCTTTTGTCAGGACTTTAGCAGGATAATTGTTGGTATACAAATGGTGCTGTGAATTATAAATGACTCATCAGTTTTTGAAGGAGACTGAACAGGATGTCTTCCCAGAAACTCTTAGGCAGCATTCTGAGTTGTTAAAGGTAGCAACTTGTATCTCATCCTCAAGTGATGATTACTGAGTCCTGTTAGACAGGTAGCATCTGTTAGGTGCCTTCTGCAAGCTTGTTCCTTGTTCCAAGCACCTTGTCTTCCTGACAGGCCTGTGAAGATATTGGCTGTGGACAAGGCGGCCATTTTACAGATGAGGAAGCGAGGCCTTTAAATTACCCAGCTAAACACCAGGGACACAAGGCTGGGTACAACAGGCACTCTGCCTTTTGAAAGTCTGAGATCTGGTATTCTCTAATTTTAAAAGCTAGACCAGCGTCCTCTTCCAGATGATCTGAATTTGGTGAGTTTCACTAAAATAAAACAATGTGAAATATTTTTCTAACCAATTAACTGTTGTCATGTATTATAATAGAGACAGGAGAGAAAGCTGTCTTGTGGAACATCCAGTCTACACTGGGGAATCAACTGTGTGCAGAACATTCTTATTTCCAGATTGTAATGTGGTGTTTATGATGCCTGAACAATGACAAAAACAAAACCTCCAGGAAGCTATTAACAAGTTGGCATATCTAATTCATGTGGAAATGCTCATTTTACTTATCAGGGAATTATAGAAGTAGTGTTCATTTAATCAAGAATCGGATGTTTTGGAAGGACAATTTTGTGAAGTTCATAATATTGCAGACACACATACATGCAGACAAAAGAAAATTGGTGAAGCAGCTAAGTGTCAGCTCATTTTCCCTTGAATAATCACTTTTACATGGTTTGAGAGCTGTTTGACAGAGGAATTATTTAAATATGTTGTATCCTTTTATAAGATTTGTAAGTGGTAAATTGATCTAACTACAATTGTACTAGGCTATAAATGGCCCTGAAGAAAAAAAGCCTCCAACTTTTCCTCCTTTCCTCTCCTCTCCTCTCTTGCCCTTCCTTCCGTCCCTCCCTCCCTCCCTCCTTCCTTCCCTCCCTCCCTCCTTCCCTCCCTCCCTCCTTCCTTCCTTCCCATCCTCTCTCCCTCCCTCTTTCTCTTTCTTTCTTCTGAGGATCAAACCCAGGCTCTTGCCATGCAAAGCATATGCTGTACCACTGAGCTACATCCCAACCCCCCAAATTTGACAATAGCTGAGGAGATCATCTTGTGTATTAGAATATAGTAGCATTGATTGATTGATGATCGATCGATTGGGCTTTTTTCTTTGGTACCAGGGATTGAACTTGGGACCTTGTGCTTGTGAGGCAGGCAGAAACAATGAGCTAAATCCCCGGCCCGATTGATTGGTTTTTTTGAGACAGGGTCTCACTATGTAGTCCAGGGTGGCCCTGAACTTGCAATGATCCTCCTGCCTCTGCCTCCCAAGTGCAAGATCTATTAGCTTTTTAAAACTCTACATAAACCATTGGCATATTCTAATCTATTTGAAAGAAATAAAACTGAAAAAATAAAACAGATTTGAATGAGTAAAGCAGAGGATGTAAGTCAGATGAGCACTGAAGAGAGACTGGAGGTGGTGAAGGTGCCAGGAGAGGGTGTCCACTCCTGGTGGCCAGCATTCGTGCCCTCACCAGGACAGGGAGTACCAGTCTCAGCTGTGGGTCTGGCTAGCTCACAGACGCCAGCGCCTCCAGGCAGTGTGCCACTCCCATGACCCAGCAGCCTAAGCCACCTCATCTGGAGGCCTGGACTCATTTGTTCGGAGTAAGCATTTGTTGAGCACTAATTCTGTGTCTGGCACTGGGCTGAGTCCCAGGGACAAACCCACGAACAAGGAGAGCAGCCTCCTGGCCTGTGGAGCTGACATCCTGGTCAAAAGAGACAGCCCATAAACATGTAGATAACTCATGGCATTGTGTGCTAAGGAAACAGAGTGGGGTAAAGTGTGATAGCGGACAGGGGGACTATCTCCATCGATGGTCGGGACGGCCACTCTGGTTGTGGCATCTGAGAGGAAGGGAGCCAACCATGGGGCGCGCAGAGGGAGAGCTCTCCAGACAGCAGGCACAAAGGCCTGGCTTGGGAAGGAGTCTGATGTATTCGAAGATGAGCTGAACGTACAGGGAGGCGGGGTAGAGATGGGGCTGGACAGCACACAGGCCAGGCTAATGTGGGTCTTTTAGGCCCAGCCAATTGCTTGGAATAGGAATCACTGGAAGATTTTAAGTAGGAAATCGATACAGCTGATTCTGTTTTTCACATTTCTGTGACCACTGTGGAGACTGGATTACAGGAGGATGAGAATGCGGAGGTGTGTGAAGAGGTGCCTGAGGAACAGGGGTGCAGGCCTGCAGGGAGCTGAGGTCTGGGGGATGCTTCTGTGAAGTCAGAGGGAAGGGGACTGGGCTGCCACCTGTGCCCTGGACCAGCCAGGGTGAGAGTTGAGGAGCCATAGTTCAGACCGTGAGGCGCTGGGGCTGCCCAGTTCCCACCACTCCTCCTGGGTTCCGGAGCCTTTAGTGGAAGGAGGGCTGGACTGGTGGCCAGGGAGGATGCGGGGAGACACAAAGAGAGCTGCACCCTGGCCTTGGAACTGATCGTGATGGAATCCAAGAGGAAGAAAGCAGTGATGCTGAGAGCTTTGGTCCTAGGATTTGTGACAGAGGAACTGGGACTCTGTAGACACCCAAGTTACCCATTCCCCCAGGTAACAGTGCAGCTGTGGGGCCTGGGAACAGTGCAGCAGCTGATAATCTCGAATTTTAACACATCAGAATGAGTGAGGTGAGAGTTATGGCTCAGGATACAGTGCTTGCCCGGCATGTGAGAGGCCCCCGGGTCCTCTGGCATATCTGCCACCCTCCCCTGTCCCCAGCCGACACCTAAAGTGGGGTGTGGGGAAAGGGAAGCTGAAGTGCTTCTCACCCAAGGAGAGGGTAACAGCCTGCAGCAGAATCTCCCAGAGCACTTGCTAGAAACACAGAATACTGGGCCCATGCGCGCTGCCCCATTCCTGCCTCATGACTGGGGGACGGGAGACTGGAGGGAAGCTAAGCTGGAGGCCGGAGATCAATCTGAGCTTGCTCTGTGGGTGAGAGAGGAAAAGGCCTGACTGAACCCTGCCCCACAGAGAGGAAGAGGAGGAGCTGGACTCCGGGGCAGACTGGGCACAGAGCCCAGGAGGATGATGTGCATAGGACAGGGAGGGAAAGATGAAGGCGGTGGAAGCCGCTCCCTGCCTGCCTGCAGATAGCACCTGCTTTTCCAGCTGCTGGCCTCTCCAGGACTCCACTCCTCACCATCCAGGGGTGAGGTCTTGGGATCCCTACCTCCCTCAGGGCCCAGCTGGCTCTGCTCCTGACAGCAGCTCTCGCCAGGCCAGGGGATGAGCCAGCACCACTGCTTGGGAACTCTCGGGTTACAGCTGGGCCCTGGCCTCCAACGTGGCCTCTTCATGGCCTCACTTAATAAAGCCACCAAACATGAGGTGTGACAGATTCCTGGAAGAGGACAGGGTGGAGCTCATTCCCATCCCAGAGAGCTGACTTGCAAGTCCCAAGCCTACTTAGCAATAATGACAGACCCTGGCATTTCCAGGGGCCCCCCTCCAGGCAGTTTAAAAACCCTTGACTCCATATGGCTTCCTGAGTCTGGAAAATACTTTCTTCAGATGATTTGTACAATGAATAGGTTGTGATACGAAGTTAAGAAGCTATTTTTCTTTTTCACCTATTTGTTATTAAGTAGGGGAAACATTAATTTCATTTTATAAACATGGATAACTTCTTCATATAAATGGTTTCCAATTTTAGAGAGTGCATCTGGAAGCTGCTATTTTCTTACAGAGTTGTCCCTTTTGTAATAAAGAAGTCCATGGCATTGTGGGTGGGACCGGGAGCCTTAGGAAAGCTTTTTCTCCAGAGCTTCACCTGAGAAACTGGCTTCCTGCTGGGCCTGCTCCTTCCCAGGACCCAGTTCCAAGAAAGGCAGCCTCATAAACGCTGTTGGTCCTCACCACTGTACTAGGTGTCCCTGCAGGAGAGGTCCTGGCCTCTTGTCCAAAGGCTCCGAGGGGAGTACTTGAGTATAGGTCCTTCCAGAGAAGGCCAGGAGATGAGGGTGTGGGTCAAAGTGACTGTCTCCTAGAAAAAGCTTTTATGTTTTTTTTTTTATGTTTTTGTCTGTTTCTGTAGTACTAGGAATTGAACCCAGGGCCTTCACACTGAGCTCTATCCCCAACACTTTTATGTTTTATTTTGATATAGGGTCTCACTAAGTCACCAAGTTGCCCAGACTAGCCTTAAAGTTGAGATCCTCCTGCCTTAGCCTCCCAGAGTGCTGGAATGATAGGCATGTGCTACTATGCCCAGACCGGAAAAAGTATATTAGGCAAAATTTGTATATTGAGGCTTAATGGGGAGGTGTAATACCAGAGTGGCACAGGTAAGGGAGAAAGGGAGTGAGGCAGGGAGTGGACACTATGACCCAGACAGCCACACTGCCACAGGAAAACATGCTGTTGCTTGGAGAATCTTGCAGATGGGCCAGGACCCCAAATTCAAGCCCAGTTCTGCCCTCCTCTGCTCATCTGTCCCTGAACTTCCAGCCCTTGGGGCTATGTGAAGGAGAATTCTGACCTACCAGGGCTCCTATTCTCCTAGCTGTAATGGGCAATAATTATCAGGGCAGTGATTTTCCAATCTCATAATAAAAGGAGCTTTCTCCTGACACACGAGCAAACATGCCACAAGTACCGACATGTCAGGAACCATGAGCGCCTGCCTGGGGAAAACAGCTCTCACTGTACCCTAGGTGAAGGGGAACGCAGGCCGCTTGTCCATTTCACTGCAGAACCGTTTCCCCTTAATACCTTATCCTACGCAGAGCCTCCATTTAGCCTCACAGTGACCCTGTGAGGTGAGAAGGCCCGCTCCCTTTTTACAGCAGAAGCAGAGGTTCAGAGCACTGAGTGAGTTGCTCCAGGCCAGTGCAGCCCATCTGAGGCCAGCTGAAACCAGGAACTGTGTCTTCTCCTTCCAAGTATTTTCTTTATACACTGCTGCCATTGCTTTGGCTTGTCCTTGCTCCCTTTGTTCTTGATTTTAACAAGAACTTCTATCTCCAGGGAAAGAGTCCTGCCCCCTGATGCTTGGGTTCTCAGTAAAGTTATTTATTTAACTCTCCGTGGTAGTCAGTCAGAAAACCCTGTAGGCTTTGGGGGGGGAACCGAGTCCCCATGGCCACCTTCTGCCTTCAGGTCAGTGGAGGCCTAAACAGACGTTTCCTCACTGGATGGAGGGGCCTCATGGTGCTGTTGATCTGCTGCAGAGTTCAGGGCAGGAAAGAGGTACAGGGCATCCCTACCTCAACCTCATATCTTGGGACTCCCCTTGTGCTAGGGACACCTGGGGCCCACCCTGCACCTCCAACCCTAGAGGCACAATGGCAGGTGGCTGGCCTCAGAGACTGCAGGTCTAATGTGGCTCAGCTGGCTTTGCTTTCCTGAGGGGAACTGGGCATGGGAAATGAGTGCACCAGAGCTGGAAAGGCAGAAAAGGAACTCCAGAGAAAGCAGAGGGGGAGAAAGAGTATAGAACATGGCTGTATGAGAGGCACTTACCCTTTCTCCTTCTTGCTTCCCAGGGTTACATTATTAATTGGTGCCTTTGGAGTTAATGGGGGGCAAGTGTGCACAAGGGGATGTGAGGAGCCAGCAGGAGGTGAACACAGGGGCAGCCCAAGCTCAGCAGTCACATGAGGGTCACACACTGAGGGTAGCTCTGGACAAGATGGGATCTGGTGCTGGCCTAGATCAGCAGGGCACTGAGCTCCTAATTCAGAGAGAGATGTTTACCCGGAAGTCCTCCTTTATGTCCATTCCAAGCCATTCCTCTTTTAATTCAAAATCAAAACCACTTATACTGGTTTGGCTCAAGTTGAATCCTTGTCAGTCCTTGTCCCAAATTTTGAAGGATGTGACCAGAGTGAATGAAAGTTATGGACCAAGCAGTTTGGGGAAATGAATTCCACTATGACAGAGTCTGGCATTTAGCAAAATAAATGGCTATATGTGGAAAGTCACAAATACCCAGACCTTCCAATAGCGTAAATTTTAATGCAGATCAACACCCATCTGAAGCAACCAGCAATACTGACAGCAATGTGGAATGATAATGGCATTGATCATTACACTTGTTCAAATGTCCTCAGTGCTCTTCCATTGCATGCATGAATCTGCCTTGTGTCTCTGTGTGTGCCAATGGCCACTTCCGACTTTGACAATGAAACCCAAGTGCAAGTCTTTCTTCTCAGTAAAGATCTTTCTCCATGTTCTCCAGCTAAGGGGATTTTTGTATAGAAACACTTCAAGTGTTACTATTTGTAAACCTAACTAGTGTTTGCTGCCCCATCTGTAGAGGTAAGTAGGTGATTTTTTGAGAAACATCATTAAAGAACTTTCATTTTTATCAGCTAGCATTTAGATTTCAGGGCACATTTGACTTCTCATTTCACCTGACATATGAGAAAATTGTTGCACACCAGTTGAGCTGTAAGGTGAACTTGCCTGTGATAATGAAAAGTTTAGGAAAGACAGAGAGCTCAGCTGACTGGTGTTCTGTTCTCCCCTGTGTGTTATGGCCACTGACCTGGTTCAGGATCAACTCTTTGCTCTCCACAGGACTATCAGATTCTCATCAGTGTCCATGAGTGTCGTTTATAGAATTCATCAGCAAGGGCACCAACAACTGCAGACAGAATGAAAGGATTCAAAGAGACAGAGTAATATTTGTAATGAATCTCAGACAGTCAACTTTGCATTGAACTATCAGCCTAAATTCAAACATTTCTTCCTCTTCCCAGAGAGGTCTAGAAATTCTTAGGTGAGCGGGAAAATGTATTACATTGCAAATAGCTGTTAAAATCTCTAGTTTTGATAGACCAACTCTATGTAGGATGGACTAGATATATTATAATAAACAGCTCCAAAATCTTAGAGTTAATATTTGCATTATAGCTCACATCGTATTTTCTGTGGGTTCCGGCATCTGTCCAGGGCAACTGTGCTTGTGTGTTGATTCAACATTCTATTCAATCTTTTAAAAAATACATTTTTTTCTTGGCACTGGGCTTTGACCCCAGGACCTTCTCATTGAGCTACAACCCCAGCCCCCCTTTTTAAAGTTATGCGACAGGGTCACCCAGGCTTAGCTCATACTTGGGATCCTTGTGCCCTAGCTTCTCCAGTGCTGGCGTCACCGTCACGCGCCACCACACCAGGCTTCCATTCAGTCTCACAGCTCTTCTCTATCAATGCTCACCTCCTTGATTGCCACAACAAGGGAAAAACAATTAAATGATTCTACCAGGAAGTGACCCGTGTCACATAGAATTTGCAAAAGCAAGTACCCTGGCTGCACTGAACTCCAGAAGGGCAGGTGTATATGGTATTGCTTCCTGCAAACCAACCACCTTAAAATTTATGCCTTTAACAGCATAGTTTATTACTCCTCACAATCCTGTGTCAACTGGACAGCTCTGGCTGGTTTTGCCTGGGCTCAGACAGCTATATTTGGCTGGAGGATGGGCTGGGCTGGGCTGGAAAGTCCAAGATATCCTCACTCACACAGGTCGTAGGTGGTACTGGCTGGCAGCTGGGTCCCTTGGTTGTCTTCTATGTGGCTTCTGATTCTTCAGGATGCTCAGCTCCTTCTTTACTTGGTGGTCCTGGGAGAGTGTTCTGAGAGCACCAAGGCAAAAGCACAGCTCCAGAACTTATGCAACACTGGCATAGGTTCACGGTCAAGGCCAGTCGAAAGACCAGCCCAGATGCACGGTACAGGGAAGCAGTCTCTCAGTGGGAATGTTGTAAATAGTAGAGCTGTGTGTTTTAATCTATTAAGCAGGTATGTGTACAGCTGGCCCCTGTTATTTATGGTAATGTTCTGCAGAGTCATTACAAATACTGAATTAAAGAATATTGAATCACTGCTTCTAAGGGAAAGACAGGATCAGGTTTCTACAAGCCTGTCTGGACACACTGGTTTTGTTGTTTTGTTTTTTTTGCAGTACCAGGGATTGAATCCAGGTGTGCTGCACCATTGAGCGACATCCTCAGCCCTTTTTATTTTGTGCTTTGAGACAGAGTCTCACTAAGTTGTCCAGTCAGGCCTGAAACTTGCAATCCTCTTGCCTCAGTCTCCTGAATAGCTGGGATTACAGGTGTGGACCACCACACCCAGGTTGGACGCAACATTTTCATCAACTAACAAACACACATGTTTTATGTGTGTCTATTTAATGACATCTCATAATTCATAATGAATCTCATGATTCATTAACGCTAAACTACAGCCAACAGCACTATAACTCATGGCTGAATGAAGCTTCTCTAACACATGTATTTTACCCAAAAGGCATACTGCAGCCTTTTCAAGCTTAGGAATATCAGCTTTACACCATTACACTTGGGAAACAGAAATGTTACCAAACAGACCCGCAAGTGGATATCAATAACAATATAACAATATAAGAGCTTAAACAAGAAAGCAAGGTATTATTTGCCACTTCAAAATTTTTATCACTCTGCATATATATGAGTGTCTATGAGGTAATGTATTGATTTTGAAATTACAAATAAATTTTAACAAGAGGATAAATGCAGAAATACGGAGTCAACAAACAATGAGGGTTGACTATATAGAGAAAAGGGAAACCAGACATTGGTGAATGGTGATCATTTCTGGCACACTCATTCATGGGAAAACAGGAAGAAGAAATGCTATTTGTAGAGTGCTTATGTTCAGGACTCATGCCCCTGCTATCTCATTTAATCTTTACAAAAGTTCGATGAATTCGTTATTTTTGAAATGTTACTGGATTCAGCTTGCTAGTATTTTATCCATAATTTTTCTTTCACATTCATAAGGGATATTATTCTGGTAATTTTCTTTTTCTTTTTTCTTTCTTTTCTCTGTGTGTGTGTGTGTGTGTGTGTGTGTGTGTGTTTGGGGAGAGGCTACTAGGGATTGAACCTAAGGCCTTTTCTCTGAGCTACAACCCCAGCCCCTTTTTATTTTTTATATTGAGACAGGGTCTCACCTAGGTGCTGAATTGCCCAGGCTGAGCTCCAACTTGCAATCCTACTCCTTTATTCTCCCAGAGCACTGGGCTTGATCTACTGGAAAGATTTTTGATTACTAATTCAATCTTGTTATCAGACTAGCCAGATTTTCTATTCCTTCTTGAGTCAATTTGTGTCTTTCTAGGAATCTGCTCATTTTATCTAATACAATTCTAATGTAGTTGTTCATGGTGTTGCCTTATAATCTTGCAGATATGAAATGAAATATTTCCTTTCATCACTGATTTTAATACAGAAAGTCCCTGACTTATGAATGAGTTCCATTCCTGGAGAACATTCATAAATCAGATTCGTTTGTAATCTGACAAAGTGAGCCTTATCTGGTATACCTTCGAATCCTATACCATACACCTGTTAAAGTTCTCAACTCCAGTATTCATAAATTGGACACTTACTGTAATTTGAGCTTTCTGGGGTTTTTTTCCTTAGTCACTGTAGCTAAAAGTTTGCCAATTTTTATCTTTTTAAACAATCAACTTTTAGTTTTATTGATTTATTTCTATTTTTCCCACTTCTTTATTGAATTTATTCCCATTTATCTTTATTACTTCCTTCTGTTTGCTTTAGGTTTACTTTGTTCTTCTTTTTCTAATTTCTTAAGGTGGAAATATAATAAATTGATTTGAGGTCCTTTTTTAATATAAGCACTTATAGCTATACATTTCTATCCAAGCACTATTTTTGCTGCATTCCACAAAATTATTTGTGTGTGTGTGTGTGTTTTATTTTTCAGTACTAACCATGGACTGAAGCCTCTGAAACCATGAGCTAATATAAACCTTTTCTCCTTTAAATTGTGTATGTCAGGTATTTTGTCCCACCAACAGAAAACTGACTAATATACGAGAGAACTTATCTATCTCTGCCACATCTATTTTACAGGTGCAGGAACAAGTTTAAGGAAATTTAGTGATTTATTGAAGGACATCCAAGCAGTATACAGTTTAAATCAGATGATATAACCCTAAAGCATGTGGTCCTAATCACTTTGCCTTAGTGATTAGAAAACTGAGGTTCAGAGAAGTTAAATACAGTGGACCCTTGACTTACTAACTCAGTTTATTCCCAAGGGCTGGTTGTGACTCAGGTTCTCTCCTGTATAATTTTAGGCCACACTTTTTTCCAGGTAGATCTCAATGTCCTTAGAGAGACACTGGTCCAGGATTTCTCAATTGACTCCACACAGGAAAGGATGTTGTAATATTCCTCCCAGAACTCTTTAAGAGTTAAATTTGTATCTGAGACCACCAGAGCACAAGCAGCCATCATTTGGGTTGTAACTCAAGACTTTGGTCACAAGTTAAAACTAAAATTCAGGTCATAACCAAAGTTGTTCATATCTCAGGCCAGTCATAACTCGAGGGTCCACTGTAATTTAATGAGGTCACACAGCTAGCAAGTGCAGATTTCTTTAACCCAAAGCTCATCCTTTTCCCTGTTATTTGCCCAAACCATCTGTCTTATGCTGGTGACCCAATAGCATAAAGGATGACAACGAATAGACTTCAATGTTCAAGTTAAAAATGCTCCATAGAGGTCTGTTAAGATACTAAATAAAATGATCTGGATGTCCTTTAAACACATTGGGATTTCAGCAACTATCTGAAGGTCAGCAAATAAACCAAAATAATAGATATCCAGAGAGAGAGAGAGAGAGAGAGAGAGAGAGAGAGAGAGAGAATGCTATTAAGGGTCATTTATACACATTTATACTTTGAACTCTCGTGTGTTTTGGAGCTGGAGTAAGGAAATTTAGAAACAGGTTGTGAATTGCTATTCAATCAGCATGAAAACTGCAGTCTTGACTGGAACTCTAAGTAAATTTTTTGTTCCCTAATCTCCTGGACTCCCAGGCCCCTTCCAAGCAGTCAGTATGTTATTGTTAGTCCCTTCCACCTATAAATGGCTCTGGGATGGGCTGAGGCCCACGTTAAGCCCAGGTATGAAAGCTCCATTGAGCCCACCTGAGTTCTGAGGGAACAGCCCCCAGTAACTGCTTGACTCACCTGTTTTTTTCTTTCTTTGTCAGCTCTTATTTTTCTTCATCTTGGATTGTCCTCAAGCTGAGTTAATTGAGAAATGACTAAGTAAGGGCATGTTATAAGTACAAATTCAGGACAAGTTTTCCAACTACTGGAGCTCTTTTTAATGGTGCCCAGAGGATATACTTCAGAGGGCACCGATCGGACTGCAGTTTGATAACCAAACAGAAGCACAGTTGAAGCTCTGTGACTCATACAGTCCCATTCAAAGCCGCCCACAGATAATGCACTGATCTGCCTATAGTCTGAATCCATTATAAAAAACAAGACTTGGTTCCAGCAGCTGGAGTAACCTTAGCCCTGTCTGGTGGTATGCATTAGAGTTACTAAAGTTTAGAGAAGCTCATGGCTGGACTTTGGGCCCCCATAGGGAGCTGTGTCCGTTTCCTCCTTTACAGAGCCAGGTCACTGTGATTAGCACACCCTGGCCTCTATTGCTAAGAGCTCTCTTCCCAATCCAGCACCCCAAACGGCACCCCCAAAATGACCTCTGCTGATGCTATTTAACACACACACGAACGGCTTCAGGGTTCCCTGCTGCTCTTTAGCTTCACCCCCAGGTTCTTTTTCTGTACAACAAAGTTAACAGTTATCACGAGACTATCAGATCTTGTTTAATTTTTAAAGTATAATTAGATACCTTATTATATAATTATAGATTCATATTCATTTGTAAGAAATAATACTGAGTGATGCAAAATGTCCTTTTCTTGTTTCTTCCTGACAGTAGCATCACCTTGTAAGACTATTGATGCTGGTACAATCCACAGATTGCAGTCAGATTTTCCCTGTCTTGTATGTACCTGGTGTGCGTGTGTGTGCACTCGCATTTGGTTTTATCTATTTTATCCTCTGTAGGAGTCTGTGCATCAATCACTATGTTGCCTTTTTATAACTCTACCTATTCCCTCTTATTGCCTCCTCTATTTCCCAGTCCTAACCCCTGCTGATCACTTATCTGTTATCCATCACTATAATCTTGTCATTTCAAGACTGTCATATAAATGAAATCATAAAATATGTAACTCTTTGGGATTAGCTTTTTTTTTTTCACTCGGTCTTGCTTTAGATCCATCCAATTTTTGCATGTCCCAGTGCTTTCTTCCCTTTGGGTTGCTGCATAATATTCCAAAGTAGATGTACCACAGTTTGTTTAACCACTCACCCAGTGAAGAATGTTGGGACTGTTGCCAGTCTGGGCCTATTTTGAAAACAATCTCGTATGAATATCTGTATACAGCTTTTTATGTGAATATAATTTCTTAAAATTTTCTCTGATAAGGGCTCCCAGAGTTTAGTTGCTGGGTTGTGTGATAACCATATGTTTAATTTTATAAGAAACTACCATAATATTCTCCAGAGGGACCACCACCTAAGCAATGGATGTGTAATTCAGTTTCTCTATCGCCTTGCCAACAGTTGATATTGTCACTATTTTAAGTTTTAACCATTCTGAGCAGGTGTGGTGGTGCAGACCTGTAGTCCTAGCTACTTGGGAGACTGAGGCAGGAGGATTACAAGTTTGAGGCCAGCTTGGGCAACTTAGCAAGACGCTGTCTTAAAACAAATAAAAAGAAGGCTAGGGATGTTGCTCAGTGATAGAGCATTTGCCTAGCATGCATGAGGTCCTAGGTTCAAAGCTCAGTACTACAAAAATTAAAAAATTCAACCATTCCTATAGGTGTGTAACAAAATTTCATTGTAATAATTTAAAGACTATTTGTACATTTCAAATTTAATTATTATTTTGTGGCTTTTATATCTTTTTCAGAAACTTCTTTATGACTAAACAGCTGTGTGATGCATTGGAAAAATCCAGAGTATTTCACGTAATCCCATTTCATTCATCAGTTCACACTTTTTCCAATATGCTGAGGATTCTATGCCTGCTTTTTGTACATGACTTGATGTCAGGTTTCACTTAGTGAAAGCTTTTTTAATAAGTGTCAACTTAAAAGTTCACATGACATATATTGCATAAATATCAGAGTTAGTTGGCTACTCTAATGGTTAGTTGGAGTTTGAGGGTCTACTGTAAAGGGAATTGCTTTCCCACATACTAATTATGCATCTATATTCATAAAATATCTTTAATCAAAAAATTAAATATGAAAAAGACACCTGGTTATCTCTTCTCCAGACCTTCTAGCCTGAGAATTCATGGAGACCATCTGCTCCACTCTGATCTGCGAGGATCCTCCCAGAGCTCTGCACTCTGTGCTCCCACATCCCACACGGCTTTCAGGCCCCACTGCTTTTATCTGGGGGCAGGCAAAGAGGTAAGACGGGAGGCTCAGGGTCCCTGGCTCATATTTATTTGTCTCTGACAGACCATCTGATGTTCTTAGCAGAAAATGAAAATATCTTCTTTTTTAGAAGTAGGGATCTGGTTGCCTGGATACAGCCAGGAATATATATAAGTGAATATGCAGGTAACCTATAGGTGCTTTGTCCCTATTTGAATTTCCACAGTGTTAAGGAGAAAATGAGACAGATATGACAAATAACATCCGCTTGGGCTTTCTCTGCTGGTCCTCTGTATGCATCACACATCCACGCGTGCATGCAACAAATAGCTTAATGTAAAAACCCTGCTAAACATCAGTCCTTATAGATTACCAGGGAACTCTGGTCAGGTTTGCTAGCAAAGCAACTTCCATCAAGACTATAAATAGCAGTGCAGCTATTTATTTTTTTAATAGGGGATTCTCATGTTACAAGGACATCACAGATTACTGAATAATTTATTCAGTGGTAGATTATATGGGCTTCACACTGTGCCAATGAGCTCATACCCAAATGTCAAAAGGAGATAAGGTGAGCAAAAGCTAGAGCTCAGGCTCTAGTGAACTATTTATTTATTTTCATTAGATATGTATGACTATTGGAAATATATATGTTATTTTACTTAGTATTATGTCAGCTGCAAAAGTTAATAGACAATGCTGGCACTGCTTTATTATTGACATTTTGTTAACTCACAACACACAGCATGAGAAACCCAGAATAGAATAATAACCTTCACACTTGATGATTTTAACAAAGGGCTCTGATATATAGGGGTATGTTTGTTCTCTATGAAAATATAGGGAAACAAGAGGGAGGAAAAATTCAATAAAAAGATGTTAGATTTGGAAAATGGAGATAAGAAAAATTATCTGGAAGGGTATTTTTTTCTGTGAACTTCTATTGTTATTACCTTTTCAATGACTTGAAGTAAAAAATACATTTTTGGGCTGGGGATTTAGTTCAGTGGTTTCGCCGCCTTATGCGCAAGTGCAAGGACCCGAGTTTGATCCCTGGTACCAAAAAAATACATTTTTAAGCTTATAGGTCTTTGACATTTTATCCTAAATTATATATATTTCTCAGATGAGCAGAGATAATTTGGAAGTTGGGCACACTTTTCTATCAAATGTAATTTTTTTTTTTGTTTTGTTTGTGTTTTGGGACAGAGCCTTTCATGTAGTTCAGGTTGGTCTTGAATTCATATGTAGCCTAGGCTGGCCTAAACTTGTGGTGATCCTCCTGCCTCAGTCTCTTGAGCCCTAGGATTACAGGCATGCATTACTATGCCCAGCAAATGTAATTTTAATGAAGATGAAACTTGCCTTAAAAGAAAATTTAAATTTGGCAATAGGAAGATGGCAAAAGTCTTCAATAGGCACATAAGAAATTCTTGACCAATAACTGTAGTAGGAGGTGCTTTATTTTATTTAGTAAACAAGCAAATTAAACCCATCATATAATAGAACTGTTCTTGTTCAGTTGCAATTTTAAAGTTTGACCATAACAAGTGCTAGTGAGAGTGCTGTACAGGGGGAACTACTGCTGGTGGAAATTTAAACTGAAACAAGAAGTCTCAAAAAGACTTGCCCTTATCTAGTAAGGTGTGGTTCACAGTGTATTCACAATGGAAGAAACTCCAGTGTGGGAAAATGCCCTAGAGGTAGGTGTATATGTGTATCCTGTGGACCAGGATATACACAAGAATGTTTATAGACACATTGTTCATAATCTCCACGAGGTGGAAATAACCCAAAGGTCTGCCTAACACAGACAAGGGTAAGTAAGAACTAGAGCCATTTACGACAGCACACATGCATTTCAGCAACAGTGCTGAGCAAAAGAAGCAAGACACAAATACATAAAGGGCTCATTGGTAAAAATCTCATGAGCAGGCAAAGCTGAACTGAATTGTTTAGGGATGCCTGTAAAGATGGTAAATAATGGAAAGCAAGGAAATCATTAAAAGTCAAGACAGTGATTACTTTTAGGGAAGAGAAAGGACTGTGACCAAGAATACTCTGAATCCTCTGTAGCTTGGAAATGCCCTCTCTTTTGTCCTGGCTGTGGCTTTGTGTGTTTTCATTTTATAATTGTTCACTAAACTGGATATTTATGTGCAGTGCACTTTTGCATATGCATATTTCATTATGCACATACATTACTTTCTAACCATGTTACTACATACTCGAAGATCAAAATCTAAAAAAAGGCATGGTGGTACATACCTGTCATCCCAGCACCCTGGAAGGCTGAAGTAGGAGGATCACAAGTTTGAGCCCAGGGTAAGCAATTTAACAACTTAGCGAGACCCTGTCTCAAAATAAAAAGACAACAAAAGGTATAGGGATATAGTTAAGTGTGAAGGCCCTGGGTTCAAACCACAGTATCGGAAAATAAAATCTAAAAAGAAAATTCCTTAACTTTTAATTTATTAGAAAATGAATGAGAAGTATTCAGTTCAGTTCCATGACCATTTAAAGCAATAAGCCAAACCTTCTGCACAGCCGCCGTCAGAACTCTGTGAGATCGCTTTGGGAAAGCAGTGGGGTGGAGAGGTAAGAGATCTGCAGTGCTGCCTCCGGGGGCTGTGTTTCCTGGAAAACCCTCTAAGCCCCATTCCTCATCTGTAAGATCTGAGCTCCTTTGAGAATCTCCAAATATATTCTTGGGAGTTCTTCGTGGGAACTTAACTGTTTTTTGGTACTGGGGATTGAACTCAGGACCTTGTCCTTGTGAAAAAGTTCCTTTTATTTTGACAGGAATGTAAATATTCTTAAGAGGATATCCTGGGTCCTCATATGTCCACCACAGAGCTCACACTCCTTGGTATTTATGACCATGTTGGGACCTGGACGCACTATTTTAATTGTCTCAAGACAGTAGGACCTTAATGAGTAGAGTGTGTTTGCTAAGTAACCTCACAAGCTAAGTTTCTGCAGGAGTTTGTAGAGACAGTGTCCTGTAGGAGTTGCGTATGGGTCAATACACACACGACATCTGCCTGGCCCAAAGAAAGGGCTCAGTACCAAATTACAGAGCAAAGGGCAATTTATTTACTCCACGAAGTCTCACTGTCTGTCTCATTACATTCACACTGTTCACTCGAGCTGTATTGGCTGTCTCTCTGATTTGTCGAAATCATGAGTTTTTTGGATTTTACAGTTGTAGAAAAGTTACAAGCCCGTGGGACGTTTGCCCAGTTTTATGTGTGTCATATTTGACTAACGATTTTACAACAATAATTTACAACAACACTGGGAATCCTCAAAATTTCCTTCTGCAGAAGTTGCCACATGTCACTCAAATATAAGCCACACTAAATTCCATGGCCTCTGCCAACCTGCCCGTGACTCAGTTTCCATTTTGGAAAGGGAGCCCTCTCTAGTGTGAGCAGCAGGATGGGCAGCATTCTTGGTGCTGCCTGGGACTCTAGCACCTGTCGTCTGTGGCAGAAACTCTCAAGTGCAGGCAGCTGTGCCCACCAGGAGTCACGGCTGAAAGGAGGTGCTGATCAGCAGGGGCCAGGGTGCTGCTGAGCACCCTACAATACACAGGGCAGTTCCCACAACAGAGGTGTCCAGGCCATGAGGTCAGTAGAGCCCGGTCCAAGAAACCCTGGTTCTGCCTTCCAGCTCCAGCTTCCATGAGGAGAAAAATCTTCTCCACATCTGGCCCTGTAAATCAGGCAGCAATTTTCTTTCTCTCCTTACCTTTTTCAGCACCTGTTTCCTTCACTACAGCAGAGTCAGACAAACACGCAGAAACAATCCCTCGGGTGTGAGCAGTTTAGTCATGCGGCTGGCTTGATCTAAGGGTGGATTGTGGGGTGTCACCCAGTGTCTTCACAGAGTGACTTTCCTATCCAGGGGGCTGGGCGCTGATGTTTGCAGCTGGTCATCAGAGGGGCTGTGCTGCAACCTGATTCCAAAAGAGCCAACTTCTCTATCAGACCAAATCACTGAAAACAATATTTCCACAGAAATGTGAATGAAAGCTTGGAACTAATGTAAGGGGTTGAGGACATCTGAGGGGTCTGCTTCAATCTCTAAGTCTGGTCTGAGGGTCCACAGAGTTGGCTCTGAACTGCTAAGGGCTGCTGTCCCCCACTTCCCATGGCTGCGGATTATGAGTCCCTCATTTGTTCACATAGATCTGCAGTGTATTCCTGGGTCCTGTCTCTTCTCCTTCCTCAGATGCGTAACTCCTGAGCGTAGAGTCTTTGGTGCTTCTGCTGTCTCTGACAGAGCCCCCAGCTCGCTCAGTGCTGTGACCCGCCCTGTAGGTAACTGGCCACACGGTCCATAAACTGAACAAAACCAGAGGTAAACTCAGCCCAGGTAGAACTGTGGCAGCGACTTCCCAGACAGTGCCCTGCTGTATACTTCATCTTCTCTCCATTCATTTACCTGTTATTCTAATGATCAGAATCCAATCCCCACCAGACTCTCTCTGTTTTGTAAGTATTAGAATCTATAGCTTTCTCCTGGCAAGAGGACAGCTTTTAGTCTCCAGAACCAAAAAAGGGAATGTGTGGTTAGCAGTCTGGGCAGGCTGCCTGCGGGAGAGACAGGGCCAGGGATCTGAGCATTCCTCTCTCTACCACACCCTGTCCTCCCCACCACTGCCGCCCTCGGGCCAGGTGATGGAGACTGGTGTGGTTATTACGACTTCACATACCTCTAATAGCCACTGGCAACACGGCCGCTGCTGGCCCATGACCAGGTGCCCCACATCCTAGGACCTCCCCACCCCTCCCCTCATCCCTCCTCCACAGAAATGAACTCTGTGAAAACAAAAGAGAAAGAGGGCAATATGCCTTTAGCACCACATGGATGCTCCGGGGGGCCAGCAAGCAGGGCCCCTTTGCTGTACTGGATTTCAGTGGCTGCTCAGAGCCCACCTCTGGGAGGGGGCTGGAGCTGCTGGGGCACTGACAAGCCCTTAGGGCCATAGGCACCCACTCAGCACACACAGCTGCAAGCCTCTGCTC